TAATTAAGATGATAGCTATTGTGATAATAATTAAACTGATAACGAGTACGATTGCGATGATGATATCATAGTTGTTGTGATAGAACTGATGACGATGATAAGGAGGAAGGTGACGACGATGATAATGACGATGATAATAAAGACCACGATGATGGTAATAACAGTTTTTTATTTTTTTTTTTTGTGAATTTTGCGTAAATAATAAGACGAATAAATGATATAAGTGATAAAGAGAGGATCGTCATCATAACCAACCGCAATAATTCCAGACGCAAATATTTCTCTAAAGACTTATGTTTTGTCAATAATGGAACGAGTTAGGTAAATATGATGATGATGACGATGGTGATGATGACGACGATGATGACGATGATGACGATGATGGTGATGACGACGATGATGATAATAGTGATGAAGATGACGATGGCGATGATGGTAGCAGCGATGATGTTTTGGAGTTGAGGTTCAACATTTTGAATTTGGCGCCAGGAGAGAGAAAATAGTTCCACTCAAACAACAAATTCATTTTCTCTTCTTCATGGATACAAATGACATTTTCAATCAAACCAAAACCAAAACATGAAAACAAAAATAATAAAAGGTTAACAAACATGGTAAGAAACGTACACACGATAAAGAAAAAAATCCATTGTAGAATAAAACCAAACATTATTCTTCGTACAACAGAGAAAACGATGATAAGTTTATCAAGCATACATCAAAAACACATGTAAAAAAACTGAAAAATAAGACATTTTTATTGATAAATGAAAAACACCAACCAAACAGAACATAGAAATTGCAAACAAAGCCCACAAAACTAAGTACAAGCACACATGGGCACACACATATCTTTGCTTTACATTCCTTCTATCACACTCCAAATTGTAGAAAATTTCTTTCCGATATTCAGAACTTTTTGCGGACTTTTGGGATTACGTAGAAAAAATTTATTATTATGAATGATGGATTGGTGGATGGTTGGATGAATGAATGGATGAATGAAGATTTGAATGAATGAATGAATAAATGAATAGATTGGTAGATGGTCAGTTACCACAAATTTTAAGATAGAATTTCCTGGAATTTGAAATGGCCCATTGAAAATGAATAAATGAATGTTGTGTTTAAGATGAGTTATTTGGGTAATGTAGTTTACGACAAATTTAAATATTTTTCAGAAACCTTTAAAAAACCTTTGCGTAATAAATAAATAAATAAATAACTACTCGATATAATCATAATCCACAAGAACGTCATCATTAATCACTACCATCATCATCATCACTACCATCATCATCATCATCATCATCATCATTGACGCCATCATCATCAGTACCATCATCATCAAAATTGTTTGCCAGGCGACTTCCGCTTCACGGATTAAAAGATGCTGCTGCACCTAACAAATCATCATCATCACCACTTCGTAACTGTCATCATCACCACTTCGTAACTATCATCATCATCACTACTTCTTGACTACCACCATCATCTATTTTACATCATCAATTACGTCATCATTTCGGGTTAGTTCATCTCATCATTGTAAGTTCAGAATCACCTTGTTATAATCTTCATCATCATCTTCATTATTTTCTTTTCCATTATCTTCTTCATCATCATCATCATCATCTTCATCATCATCTTTATCACCAACACTGCCATAAATTTTCCATAATTTTGCAGTGACCTTCATAATTTTTTAAAATAAAATATGAAGGTCATTTATTTTGTGGCCATAATCTCTTTCTCAAATTTATCATTCTTATATCACATCTTCATCATTTCAGCAGCTAAAACAATCTTTAACGTCAACATCATTATCAATACTATCAACTTTATAAGCATATTCAAATTAGGTAATCCCTCATCTAATCACTATCAACAAATTTTATTATCGTCGTCGTCGTCACCATCATATATGTTGCTATCTTTTTCATCATCACTCATCAGCATACGTCATAGTATCATAACAATCATCATTCCTGTTCAAATTTACTCATTTTAACATTATCGAATCACACGCACATCCCACACGTGGTTGTGTTGGAAGACAACGATGAAATTCACATTCGAACAGCTGCACTTGTCTGTTATTGCTCTTCAATTCAAACGACAACAAAAACAAGAACAACAACTCATAGGAATCTATGAGTATCGTATCTACTACTACTACTAATACTACTTCTACTACTACTACTACTACTACTACTACTACTAATACTACTACTACTACTACTGCTACTACTACGATACTACTACTACTACTGCTGCTGCTGCTGCTGTTGCTGCTGTTGCTGCTGCTGAAACCTTTACAAATAACAAAGGTACAGATGCAATGAAAATATTGTACACTATACCATCGATATTACTTAAGCTAACTTGGCCCGCTAGAAAAAAAACTGCAGTATACATAGCCTATTGTAAAAACGGGATTGACAAAAAAAATTGAAACCCATTTAAAAATGAAAAAGATGATTGTCCTATCAAGAGTAATGGTAACAGTAAAAAACCACAAAAAATGATGATATAATGATAATAATGATAATAATAATAATAATAATAATAATAATAGTAGTAGTAGTAGCAAGCCCAAAGCAACACCAGAACATTGAAAAAGTAGCAAGAATATTTTTCTACTCTAATAAGTCCTCCCCATATCGTTTCATCACATTGTTATCATCATTCTGAACGATGTCTTAATGATAAATGATACGTGATTATCACTGACAAATGCTTCACTCTTAATTAAATTATAGCCATTTTCTTTAAATTATAACTATAATAATAATTATTATTATAGGAAATTATCAGTCAAAAGAAGGAACTCACAATCACATCCCAGATCATGCATCGTCATGATGACCACTTCGTTACTGACCGCTCTGTTGCCCTGGTCATAATGAGGATGATGACGATGATGTGGCAGGTGATAATAATATTTACAATGAAATTAATAATAATAATACGAAGCAGAAAAAAAAGAAGAAGAAAAAGAAGAAGAAGAAGGAGAAGAAGGAGGAGAAGAAGGAGGAGAAGAAGGAGGAGAAGAAGAAAAGAATAACTACAGCATCAACAATAATAACTACAACCACGGAGATGAATGTCGAGAAGTAAAAGATGAAAATTACGATTAGCCAGATGGTGACGATTATGATAAGAATAATAATGATGACGACGATGATGAAGAAGATGGAAAGAAAGAAGAAGATGATGATGATGAGAAAGAGGAAAAAATGAAGAAGATGAGGATGATAAAGATGATGATGTTGGACGCAGTTGTGAATTACGATAACGACCCCGGCCAGCCAGCCTATTTTTAACGATCTTGCATAAGAAGAACAAAAATAAATAATAACAATAATTAATAAATATTTCATTATTATTTTAATTATTATGATAATTATGAAACGGTAATAATAACATTTTTGATAGTTTTGTTACCATTCTTGTTATAATCTTAATACAGTCAATATATGAATATTTTTTTAACAGAAAACACCAAAACTAATAAAAAACAAAAAGAAACATAGTTCTCATTATTTTCATTAAAATGTCATTAAAAAATATATTTACAAACAAAATTTTTTCTAAATAAAACTGAAAAAACGATGTAATAATAACATGTGGTAATGATATATCAGTGCGTGTAACAGAAACAGCAGCCAAAAGAGAGAGTTGAGATGCACGATGCATAGGTCAATATCATTAGCCCAATAACAACAGTAAACATGCCAGTGAACAAAATTTTTATTTTTTAATAATTCCTTTCTAAATTGTAACCAAATAAAAAAAATGAGATGAAAAGAGAGAAATATGAGAAATAGTTTCATGTCAGCCATGCAACTAAACAATTTGCCAACTGCTGAATCTGAAGCAAAAAAATAATCACTTGATTAATTTTTCGAAGCACCTGCTTAGATTAGATTATCAACAGGAAAAACAAATAATAGAAAAAAATATTGTAAAATAAGACAAAACTAAAAAATTAAGTGGTGAAAGATTGCTTATACAGATTCGTTCAAACTCGTTTATTTAATTTTTACTGTTAAAAGTTTTTTCAAACACATTTTAAATGAACATCAGAAAGATGAAAACATAATTTAAGTGAACGTAAGAAAGATGAAAACATAATTTTGATGAATAATCACACACACACACACATACATACACACAAACACAAGCAGGATATATGTGCACACTATCAACTCGGTGTTACACACATTTGGTATGTGTGTAGAGTAGCCACAACATAATAGTTTCCAAGTCTCCTTTTTAACTTTTCTACCTTCTACCATCTGAGCTAACTCTCTTCATTTTAATGAAAAAATTTCATTATTGCAACAACAATTTCAAAATGAATCACTGGATAAAATCTAAGACTTCAGATAATTAAAACGTTCTGGTATATTCTATTTTATTTTGTACAAATGAATCGTTTTCAAAATATTGCGAAATAATAATTTGAAAAAACAAAATAAAAATATGAATCAAATTAAAATGTAAAAATAATTGAAGTAAGAAATTAGCATGCATCACGTGACGCATTGTTACGTCATTATTATTGTGACGTCATCGAAGTAGAAGAAACTACCTTCACTCCGACGTAGGTCTTCAAGTGAAAAAAAGAATGTCAAATTATTTTTGTCATAATTTTTTGTTATTATTACAAATTTTTGTTTGTATTATTATTATTGTTATTATATACTTTTTGATGTTTTCAAAAATTTGTTGAACAATCTTCGTAACCGACATCAGCTCAGCTGCATAGCCAAGAACAAAAGCACGAACAAAGAATCATCTCTAAGAACAAAACATAAACATAAACAACAACAACATAGAAACGTAAACCGAAACACAGAACTAAAACCATAGCAAAATCAAACATCCGTTACCTGAATGTAAACATTAATTTCTCCAATGATTGGACATCTGATCACGTGATGTTCCATACTGTAAGCTGATTGGTCGCGTGGTGAGTGTAACTAGATTGATTGGTGGGTTTGTAAGGTTTGACGGTTGGTTAGTTGGTTGGTTGGTTGGGTGATTGGTGATTGATGATTGGCTGGCTGGTAAATTAGTCAGTCAGTTAGTTGGTTGGAGGATTGGTTGGTTGGTAAGCTGGTCATTTGGTTGGTTGGTTTGATGTTTGGTTGGTTAGCTAATTGGCTGGTGTTCTTAAAATTAATAAAAAAAACAATTATATAATCCGGTGAACTGAAGCAAGCCATTGCTTCTGGTTGGTTTCAATAACAACATTATAAATAATAGAAAAAACAGAATGAACAAGACCAACAATAGAGATGACGTTGTTGGTGGTTAAAATGATGAGAATGTTTTTAATTGTAATTAACATGAGCAGTGAGTGACATTATACATGGTAATCAAAATATTTTCAAAGTAGATGAAACTTACAATAAATATATAGTGACAAAGTGCAATTGAGATTTAAGGTTTGATACATTATGTTTTTTTTATTTCAATTGTGGCACATGTTATTTCAGTTTTTGTTACAGATAATATATAACTTTATATGAATAAATACATTTAAAATACAATAAAATACAAAACAATACAATACAATACAATACAAAACAATACAATTCAACCCAATACAATACAACATATTTTATGTACTCTTCAAACACATGTAACCTAATTTAGCAACGTACCAAACAAAAAATAACAGGTATTATTCTTGTTCGGGTCAGGCTCAGTTCCGGTTTTTGTTCAGACTAAAATTTCGGTACGGTTTCGGTTCGAAGTCTCGCAATGATGATGACAACGATAAAATTATGATAAAGATGATGATGAATGAAGAGAATTGATGTTAATAATGACGATGACGACAATTTTATTGGTAACCGTTGCAAGGTTAATTAGCTTCTCATGATGACTAATGGCACAGGTGTGTCTGTTAATGCTAAAAAGCACCTAACTCACTCAATTGTCGATGATAAAGATGATGATGAAAGTGATGGTGAAGATGATGGTAAAGATGAAGATGATGGTGACGATGAAGATAATGGTGAAATTGATGATGAAAAAAATGATGGTGAAAATGAAGATGATGGTGAAAATGATGATGGTGATAACGTCACTGATGTTATAGATGACGATATTGACTGATAGCGATAGTGATCAAACACAGAAAAATTTCCATTATAAAATCTAGTGTGATTGTTTAAAATGATTTATGGTGGTAAACAAAAAGAGTAATAATATGAGAAGAAAATTTAAAAAAAATATTAGAAAAATGTCATCAATGATAAAAAACTGAAAAAGTAAAAGATAAAAACAAACAGCAAAGAAATAATAGAGGTTGCAACAAAAGGGACGAAAATTGGGATGGTGAAAAATTACAGGAAAAGGACAATTATTTTAAGAGCACGGTCCTCAGGAAATGTGTATACATTTGAGAAAAAAAACTTTTTTGGCAAAAATTTTACAAACAAAAAAATAAAAATAATTTATAAATACAACTAAATAAAAACTGATTTACGATTAAAATTTATTTATAAATAAATTTATAACAATCTAACCAAACGGTATTACTAGTTTGTTAATACAGTATTATATAGATGCTAATATAGGTTATGAGGTACAAGTAAATATAGGTTGTATATAGATATGTGTTAAAGTAGGTAAGCAATTATAATGATAGTTAAGTTATAAAAGCAGTTCACGACGAGACAGCAAATTTACTGTCTTAAAGCAGCTTAATATAAGATAATATTAATTAATATTATAATATAATTAATCAGAGCATATAATACTTTGTATAATAAGGATGAGGTGACATGCAACAGGGACTGACTGGTTAGAAGGAGTTAGTCAACTAGTTAGGCTCCAAGGAGCAAGGTCTCCTAGTATATAATAGGCGAGCACATAAGTTAAGAAAAGTTAGTTAATGTTGAGCGAGCGAGTTTACAGAACAGAAAGAATTTCCCCGAAAACAAACTATTTTGTTCGTTCAGAAACCGTCGTAGAACGGTGAAGAGCGAGCAATATAACAATAGTTTCTTTCCGTTATAAATTGAGAAAAATTTTTTTAATATTTATATTTTTAAAAATATCTTTAGAAATATTTTGCACCAGAATGATGAGTTGAAAGGAAATGAAAAAAAAATGGTTGAGTGCATCTCATAAGTGCATGCAATAGAGGAAGAATGAAAATTTTCATCATCGATATCACAATAATTTCTGTATGTGACATCACGTTGATGTCACCACGCCATCATCATTTTGTCAGTTCACCATTCCCACGTCTCATCACCATAACAGTTCACCATTCCCACGTCTCATCACCATAACAGTTCACCATTCTCACATCGCCACGAAGTCATCATTCTATCTGTGACATCATCGAATTACAATAAACAACCTTTCAGTAGCAAGAACATCAGAGAAATCATTCAAACTAAATTAATGTCACTAACAAAGATGACAATAACCACATTACTACTACAAGAAGACATTAACAAAGTCAACAGGCAACCTTAATAACATTAGCAACGATAATGTTAACAATAACATCAAAAACAGCAACAACGATAAAGATGATACCAGCTAAAACTTCTATATTCCATTTAAAAACTTTAAAAGTCATAATGCCAGACGGGGCATCGAATATATGAGGGAATTAAACTCATTCTCAAATTTGAATCAGAATTCATTTTTTCTTCTTCCGTCTATCTGTCCTCTCTTTCTATCACTCCATTTTTACTTTCTACTACTCTCTCTCCCTCTCTCTCTTTCTCTCTTTTTTTTCATGTTATCTATCTTTTTATCTACATCCCTCTATCTGTTTGTTTATTTACTTACATGTATGTTTAGTTTGTGCACTTAAAGTTTCTGTATGTAAAGTAAATACGAAACACTCATTTCTGTGTTCTCATTCACCATTCACAATCAGTCGTCGTCATCCAGTGTTGAAAATTTTTTTAAATTGTAATTGAAAAATTCGCTATTGTTTAAAACAGGAGAAATATTTAAAGTTACTTAAAATATAAAAATATTTTTAGGTAAAAATCTTGGTCTGAATGTTGTTGGAGAATTAAGAAAAAACATATAAAAATTTGATAAAATAACGGAAAAACTGAAAAAAATTTGAATACAAGGTTTAGTTTAAAAACTGTGCGTTAGTCAATTCATGCCAGTGTTGGCTCGCTTTACTTTGCAATGCGTTTTGATGATTCGCGTATGTGAAGAAGTGTATGCGGTGTGTTTGTGTGTGGAGTATATTTGTGTATGTGCTTGGAGTGTGTGCATGTCTGTGTGTGTGTGGTTTGTGGATTTATATTCAATTTACAACAATAAATTTGTTTAAAACAATAAACTTGATTAAATACTGATTCTATAGGTGTTTTCAAAAACAAAAAACAATGATGAATAATCATATTCATATACATAAACGTATGTGTATGTGTAAATAAACGCATATAAGTTTGTCTTTATAGATTTTAATTTCTTTTTCTTAGATCTATAGAGCTGTGCAAAAAAAATGTGCATGGTTTGATGGATTCAGATAACGCTGTAATTTGTATAGCACATGTAGCACATGTGTACGTGTGTTCTGATAGGTTTCCAGGGTTTAAATACGTATATTTTTCAGACCAATAGATTATGTGATAAAATATCAATCAATGCACCTGTGGTTAATGTTGTTCTTGAATGGGGGATCTAATTATTTCAAATAATAATCCAAATAAACACATTTTTTATTCTCTAATATTTAAAATATTTCATTCATTGAATTATTAATTAGAATTTGTCAACAAATTAACTTTATAACGAAGTAAACCCTGAAAACGATTCACATGTAAGATAAATTTGAATAAATTATTCATCGCCATTTCTTAAAAATTCACATAAACCATTATGACTAGATCGTCAGGCTAAACGTAATAACTATTGAATATAAAATGAAGCGCTATATTAATTAGAAATACACACCCATACGTGTTTAGAAAAGGCGGGATATAAGAAAGACACTTGGCGTGTGCCTTCAAGTTTACGATGTCTCAAAACCGGGGAAACTGTGTATAAACGTTTCAGTGGTTTTTTGTTGGGGCTAAAATCGTTAAAACAGTTGGCAACCTTTTATGGTAATCCCACAATTTTGTAAAAAAAATTTGTAATTTTTACGAAAACAACTGATCGTACGGCAACAACAACAAAAACTAAATTGTATATGATCCAAGCCACAAAATGGTTCTCACACGTACACACACATACACTCGCACACACACTACACACATACACACACACACACTCTCTCTCTCTCTCTCTCTCTCTCTCTCTCTCTCTCTCTCTCTCTGTCTCTCTCTCTCTCTCTCTCTCTCTCTCTCTCTTTCTCACACACACACACACACACACACACACACACACACATGCACACATACAAATAATATGGCTATTAAAAATACAATACACAAAAAAATGATATACGTTTGTTTATGTAGTTGCTATACATTCAACACTTACCATCTGCTTATCGATAAATGAATCGCTTGAAGACATTTTCTTCTTGCTAACCTGAAAATTATAAATTTATTGTAATATAAAGATTATTAAAATAATAATTAATTATTTTTGGCTAAAATTATTAGTACTACACACACACATACACACACATACACGCACACAATTTTAGAATTTAAATATTCAACTCTAGATCTTTTCAACTTTTAAAACATGTGTTTCCTGTTAAATTGATTTGATGGTTCAATATAATTTGCATAAAATAAAATGATAAACATTATCTGATTTATTTTATTCCCATATGAATATCGTCTGTTGGTGTGTACGTGTACGTGTGTGCGTGTGTGTGTGTGTCTGTGTTGAGTGGGATGTGTGCGCCAACATGGAAAAGTGAGTGCGTTGAAACGATACTTGATCATTAATTTTGAGTAGTTCATTAAAAAAATTTTTAGAATAACAAAAAACTAACTTCGGAATTTCAAAAGAATTTGCAGAAATAGTAATATTAAAATGCGATTTTGATGTTTTTGTTTATATCAATATTCAAAATCAAGTAAACCAAAAAACAGAGTAACACCAGTTGTTAACTGTTTCAGAGATATATTTTGTAATGAACAATCTAAACAGAATTGAATGCTAAAAGAGGATTATGAATGAAATAAACGATTTTTTAGGTGTTTATCCCACTTCCAATGCTGTTAACACTGCTCTGAGTATCGATAAAAAAATTTTACAATTTATGGTTCAGATGCAATTGTTGCCTGCTGATGTTATAAACGACGTTGTTATATATGTTGATGTTGTCGTTTTTATTATTTTTATTTTTTGTTGATGTTGTCGTTGTTGTCGTTGATGTTGTTGTTGTTGTGGCTGTTGTTGATGTTTTTGTTGTGGTTGGTGTTGTTGATGTAAGGTAACGTTGAGATGGTTCAAATCCAAACACGTGACCTGCTCATTTACACATTGAATGGTAATTAATGTCACCAACAATAATAAAAACCAAAGTTATTGAGACATTCCTTTTTTGTTGTTGTCTTTACAATTTAACTTAAAGTTATTATTATTATTATTGTAATTATTATTATTGTTATTATTATCGATTATTTTATCAATTACTCGTTAATTAATTTGATATATTTTCTTATATTTTATCCAATGATAATTATTTTTTATTTGTCGCTTAAAAAAGGTCAGATTTGAGATAGATTTTACAAATATGCGTATTATGGCAGGAAATCCAAATATTTATCTAGATGGGGTATTATCTTCAACACGAGTATAATTTCCCATACATTAAGATTTGTTGAGGTGGTTGAACCTGTCCTGGATAAAATTAACTATTTAGATAAGTAACAATACCACATAACGACTAGATCATAATTCATACATGTGTGTGTGCTTGTGTGTACGCGTTTGTATGTGTGTGTATGTGTGTGTATTTATATATTTATTTATCATTGCACTGCAGATTGCTTAAGTGGTGTTGTTGTTATTTGCTTCTCGTTTCACGAAAAGAACTATTTTCTGTTTTTCCATTCTGTATTTTTTTCTATTGAAATGATTGCAATGTATCATAGTGTAACAATGATTTATGCTTTAAAATACTATGCGATTTTGTGCTTCTGCTGCTGCTGTTTCAATTATTAAAAAAAATGTTTGTTGTGAATAGAACAAAACTTAATCATAACATTAGTTAGTTTAAGTATAAATATAGAGCCAAAATCAACCAACCGGCTAATACAAAACTTCTTAGCCAAATGAACAACAAAAGTCTGATTTTTCTAACAACAGAACAGATAAGATAGGCTGAATATAAAAATGATGATGAACTAAGATTCATCTGCTAAAAAATACAATGTTCACACACTCAAAACAATACTATGGCATAAAAACCTAATGTATATACGCACTAACAAGTGCATGCATACATTCCTACATATTGATATAACACACAAACACATATATAAACTTGTTTTGTGTAATATACAAATATATACACTCAATTGTATGTGGAGTTTTATATTTAACACTTATTTACATATATGATTGCAGGCATGCAAAGTAAAAAAGATGAGCGATATATATCCAGAAGATGATAGTGAACACGCAAGTTGCTTAGCTATACATCTCTCTAATTATACATATTCCTAATCTTAACAAATATACATGCATATATATATCTATCTATCTATATATATATATATATATATATATATATATAATTTGTATATAAATTAAAAAGTTATACTTGACGCACCTAATAAATCATGCTCCCTTGACTATTTACCTACACAAATGGGATGGTTCTAGAGATGAACCAAAAAGTAATCGAAGAAGGAAAAATTAGGTGGACAGAATTATAAAGCGAGAAAACAATTTTAAAATAAAAATTTTGGTAATTCATTTGTATTTCCATGTCATTAACCATTCAGTCCATCTTTTCCATCATGATAACAAAATGTACGCTCTAGTGAACATCAAGAAAGACATCAAAAAAATGATGGGCTATGATTGGGTGACGTGTATGAATGAAAGCATATAGTTTTCTGTTACTTTAAAAGCAATTGTTTGTGAGTTTCTAAGTTTGTATAAATCTAACAATCAAACAAATCTGGAATTTAAATGAATATTAAAAAATGGAACCGATACATTCAATTAATTACTGTTGATCGTAATTGTTTTAATGGTGTAGTCTAGATGTTAAAAGTTTCAATGAAATTTTCATGCATGTGTTTTAGAAAATTTTACAAGCAAGTCAACAAGAAAATGATGGTAGATGCTAAACAAATTATAGAAAAAAAAACCAGAACAATTTTTATTTTCATATTTAATTTCAGTTTTAAGTCAATGTTTAATAAAACTAGTGACCCCAGACGATCTTGGGAGAAATTGTTTTTCAAACGCCTCTTTTGAATCTGTTGATCACCAGGGGAGCTATTTGGCTATTGCTGGTTGCGAAAATTTCAATACTAATTGAAAAAAGTACACCGCAACTATAAATAATCAAAATTAAC